ACAGTATAAAGAGATTCACTGTATATAGTTTTCCAAGTGGACAGAAGTTCGGTTATATGTGTGGTATGTTACGACTTCAGAATTATCAATGTATTTTTTTTTTATCATAATATTATATAGTATATTAGTTACTAGTGGCTCATTGGGTACACCAACTCTCCTTTTATCCTGATGAAGTTTCAGCTTTGATGTCTTTTCTTTTATTCTTCTAGATTCACGGGTTCGATAACCAAGATCGTGGTACTCTTGTGTACTTTTCTTTTTTCCTCAGTGGAGAATAATTTAGAAATTTGTGATATATTTTCAAAATGTAGTTTTCCTAAGAGCATTATGATAATATTGCCAACTGATTTAAAATAGCATAATGCAAAATAATGGGGAAAAACAGTAAGGGCTAATTGATCTTTTTTTTTGTTTCCTGAAACTCACCTACAATCTACCCAAGAAAATTAAAGACCAAAATCCATAACCTCTATAAATCATATATTTCTTATAAGGATCGAATTTGTAATTTAAATCCCATCATTAACCGTTTACTTATATATTTATAAATTATTCATGAATGATTAGTTTTTTGTGAGTATTGAATTTTCTAACGTACTGTTTGACAACGTGCATGAAGTAACACGTTGAGTGTTTCGTACGTGTGATATTTGCTTGTTAAAAGTATGTGATATTGGATAATTCAAACAACTAATTTTTTTTTGTTAAAGGATTTTCTTGAATTAATAATAGAGTCTTTTACAAAAGTCCAAAAATGTCTGACCCAATAGAAAAATCTAAAACTAGGGTTACAAAAATGTCCAAACCCGATACCATATCAGTTTCGGCCCCCGAGATCGGAAAAGCAGCAACCACGCCTCGACACACTTGAGGTTTGACCAAATTGGAATAGACCGTGCGACGACAGGGAAGCTAGCAGCGAAAACGGATCTCGATGCAGCCACCTCCAAGAAACCCACCCGAAACCCCAATATCGCCTCAAGCATCGGAGATTCAAATGGAAAGGTGTGGAGCAAGAAGAAGACACACGCCTCCCGTCCGTTGAAGAGAAATCGCCCCCAAAGATCCGCTCGTCCTCATCCACTATCGCCATCCCAATTCTACGCCGAAGAAGCTTCGCCGCTAAAGTCCAAGAGGAGAACTCCTTAACCGAAGATCTCAACCAGCGAATCCCTGGGAAGACCTCCGTCGATTCCCCTTCACAACCTCAAGGAAGGAAGATCGGTGAGGGACCCAGAGAAAGACCGAAAGGATTTCCGAGCCAACGGCCAGAACCACACCGAGTAAATCAGATCCACTCCCCTTTGAATATATCGAACCCAAGATCAAGATGAGGAGCAAATCAAAAGAAAAAACAGGAAGGAAATAGAGACTCTCTCGCAACAACCGGTCGAAACCGGGCGCCGGAGAGGCCAGCAAAAAAATTGACGGGAAGAAGTTTTTGTTTTGGTTGAGAAAAAACTCACGGCGAGTGAATCTCACGCGCCCGAATTTGGTGGTGAAATTATTTCAAACGTAATAATTCAAACAATTAAGATAAAATCTTAAAGCCATAAGCTCGATATAAAGAAAATGGGACAAGTAAATGGGAGAATGTGTCAAGATAACCATAAAGTGAAGACAATCAAAGATAAAATACGAATTTATAGAACTTATACAACAAATTCGAATCAACCCCTAATCAACCTCGAAGGATGGAGAATGGAGCCCTAGTTAATTAACAAAATCAGCGAGCATGCATCATGCATGAACCCAAAAAAAATACTAGTCAAAATATACTCCTTCCGTTTCAAAATATAAGTTGTTTTATAAGTTTTTTGTTTCAAAATGTAAGTTTTTTTTACAATCCTAGGTACTTTTTAACTTTATTGAATATTGTGTTACCACTCATATTTTGTAATTTTTTGTGTGATTGGTCAGATTATTTTTATTAAATATATTAAATGATATTTTTTAATAAAAAAATAGTTTTTTAATATTCGCGATTTTAGCTAAAACAACTTATATTTTAAAACAGAAGAAATATATATTTACGATTAACCAACCACTTAGATATTCAAATATTTTCAACCACAAAAAGTGAAAGGAATTAAAGATAAATATCGAACCGTCCGTTTAACAAATTCCACACATATTCTCGTCTCATTTAGACCCCACATCTTCAAAAAAAATTTGAAAATACCTTTCACATTTTTTGAACCTGTTAAAATTGGTTGGATATATTAAACTAAATTACGACTCGATTTGTTTAAAAGAAAATTAACAAAACTATACACTTATTTTAAAATTTCTTTTTCAATCTACCACAATCTTAAAATCTTTTTAAAATTTACCACATTTTTATTTCTTCTCAACACAAAAAAACATTTTTATCCTTATGTATATATTTTTTTTTCACTCATGACATTTA